CCCGCCCCTGCCGTGCCCAGCACAGCCCCCCACCCAGCCTGTCCCCTGCTCCCGAGGCCCTTGGGGGCACCCAGGGGCCCAGCAACACCCCGCTGATGCTCCACGCAGACCCCTGGTACTCACCATCGGCCCAAGCACCCAGCTGGGAGAAGGCTTTGGACCGTCTGATGGCAGAGGCAGTGGCTGGATTTAGCGTTCCAGGTCTCCACCGTTTGCCCAAACCCTTTCTGGAGCCATTCAGTTGCCCAGGATCCTGCCATACCTTGTCCCCATCGGTCCCACGCTGGCAGCCTGACTGTCCTGGAGAGTTCCGTGTCTCAGGGACAAGAATGGGACGGGATGACACAGGAATCACAAGGGATGGGCAGCGGCCAGGGGTGCCTCTGGGATAATCACCTCACCCCATGCCTCGGTTTCCCTGCTGCCAGCTGCTGTGCTTGCGGGCTGTGGGTCAGGGCGCTGCAGCAAGAGCCAGACCCGCCCTGTGCCCCCCTAGACCAGCAGTCCTCACCTGGGGGGGAATAACACAGAACCTCCGTGGCAAGGTCCCCCCCTGGGGTCCCACAGCACCAGGACCCCAGACCCCACCGGCCCATCTCCTTTCAGGACTGTTAGCACAGCTGAAGCAGGAGAAGGGGGGTGTCCGGGCTGGGGGACCCCGCCACCGCTGTCTGGAGTGGACAGAGCCGATCAGGGCTGGAGACATGTCGTGCTGAAGGATGCTGGCACTGCCAAGGTCCCGCTTCCCGCCCGGCAGATGGGACCTGGCACCAGCCTCGCACGCGCCCCGGCACTGGCTGCATCCTCCCGGCTGCTGCTTCGGCACTGCTGACAGCAGAAGGACAATGGCAGAGACTCCCTGGCCCCCATCTTCGGTGGGGACAAGCAGTGTTAGGATCTGCTGCCTGGCTCCAACCCCCCCCGGAGCCGCAGCCAGGCATAAATATTTCAGGGGGGTTGGCAGTTTTGTAATAACCAGCAACAAAGATAAACACCGGGAAGAGCAATATTTTTCCATGTGGGTTGGAGGAGTTTAATATTTTATCACTCAGAGCACAAAATATTTATGAACAATCTCATGTCAATCATTGGCTGAGGACTAATCATGACCTTTCCAAGCCAGGGAGGACACGTCCCCACCACAGAGGGACAGCCAGGCCACCTTGCCCCTTGCACTTCCATCCCAAGCCCTGGTTTTGGGCCGCCACATAGGTCTGCTGGGGAACAAGCCCTGGGCTGCTGCAGGCACCAGGACACTGGGACAGGGCAGGGACTGAGCCCTGCCAGCCAGGAAAGGTGCTCTGGCACCAGGCAATGCCCCACGACACCACGGCGGTGACCAGGCTGCTCCATCGTCCCCAGCTGGATGACAGGGAACTGAGATCAGTACAGGCAGCCCTCCCTGCCTGCACCCCACAGCTGCGGGACCAGGCAGATGGGATGTCAGGGAGGGACCATGCAGGCAGGCTGGTCCACCCACCATAGGAGCACAGCAGTGCCAGGCCCACCAACAGCCCAGGGACCTGGCTCTACTGGTTTTACTTTCAGCAGGTGCCCAAGAGGAGGGGGGATGCCACCTCCCTCCAGCCCAGCCCGGCCCAGCTCTGCAGGGCGGCTGGGACCCTTCCCTGCTCCCCCCGCAGCTTGCAGAAGCCGGGGACGGTCCCTCTGGCCCTGCTGGGTTGCCGGGCAGGGAGCAAGCCCGAGCAGCAGTGGTGCAGAGCCCTCAGGCAGCTCCCATCTGGGTCGGGGGGCGTGGGGGCAGCCCCCTCCCTGCCATGGAGCAGGACGGCGCGATCAGCCAAGAGACAGTCAGCAATGGCACCGGCCACCAGTGAGGAAAAGCATCCACTTTATTACAGACCCCAAAAGTGCCCGTGGCAGTGCCAGGAGGACCAGGTTTACATGGGATGTTTCCATTTTTCAGCAAAGGGAAGAGAAGAGGGGAACAAACCCAACTGACCCTACTCACAGCTCTTTGGTGCTAGAAAACACGCGGCGGTCCGGCAGAGAGAAGCTGTGGGTGAGAGGGGCACTGGCAGAGATGAGGGGGGACACCTCTGTCATCCACCACACCCCCCAAGACGCCTGCGAGGAATTTGCGACGCATCTAGACACACAAACAGCAAATGCATTTCACTGGCCCCCAAGCCTGCACCTACCCCACACCGCCGAGCACTGCCGGAGACCCCCCCCCACCTCCCGGTGTCCCTGAAATGGTCAAACACCCTTTCTGCAGAGAGGGAGAGCGGGTTCCGGGGGGAATCAGCGACCAAAATCTCTTGGCTGGAGAGGAAGGAGGTGGGAAAGGCGACTGGTTCCCTGTAACTCTGACTCCAGTGGGAGGCGAGGCAGCCAGGTCTCTGCTTCACTCTTCTCCTCTCTCGGCAGCGGTGGGCTCCTTGGTCCACTTGTCTGTGACTTCCTGGTTGCCTGTGTAGCCCATGTCAGGCAGCAGGCCTGGGGCTCCCTCCCCATCCCCGGTGACCTCCAGGTCCAGCTCTTCAAAGGAGGAGCCGCTGGCTCCCGACTCGCTGTAGCTGTGCTCGCTGCGGTTGTCTGCCTCCTCCCGGCCACGGCTGGCTGGGAAGGGCAGCAGGATGGAGGTGGCCACCGAGGTGTCTCTGCTGTCGGTTGTGGCCTCTATGCTGATTGAGCTCGTCTCACTCATCGTGTCGGCCCCTGGGATGGAGAAAGAAGGGAAGGGAGTGAATGCTGTGGGAAGGGAGTGAATGCTGCGGGAATGAAGCAATAGTGATGAGGTGCCACAGCCTTTGAAGCCACCAGAAACCTCAGAGACATCGGGCCACAGTGGAGACCAGCTCCTGCCTCCTGGCACCTCCTGTGCCTGAGAGAAGTGACTGGGCCAAGACAAACACGAGCTGGACTCAAGCAGCTCCCTGAAGTCAGGGCATCTCAAGCTGGAACAACTAACCCCTGGCTTCCCAGCCGTGCCCTGACCCTCTGGCCCCACTGCTGCTCTCCCAAGGACCTGGCAAGCCCTTGCTTAGGGAGAATGTCCAGCCTGGGAGCTGGAGATAACCCTGCCCTTGGCACAGCACAAGGAACGGGGTGAGGAGCGGGATGCTGGGCTGCAAGGGTGATGGGGAGCTGCAGCATTGCTTGAGCACCAAGGGGATGGTGGCACACAGGCCAGTCCTTGGATTTGTCACCACCAGAGGTGGGTGTACATCCAGCCTCAGGCCAGAGCACTCTAACACTGCCTTCAGCACTCGCTACAACCTGCTCCCACTCCCTGCGTGGCTCCTCTGCAGCCAGCAGCTCCGGCAGCAGTGTGAAGGCAGGCAGGGCAGTGGCAGACGGGACTCGGGGTGCTAGAAGATGGAGGAAGACTTGCCAGCTCACTTGGCACTTCTCCACGTCACCTGTCTCCCAGCCCACACACTCCACCTCGTGGCTGAGCCCCCCCGAGGGCTGCTCCTACCTGCCTGGGTGGACCCCTCAGCCCACTGCCCCCTCCCTGGATCCCTGCCTCGTTAGCTTGGTCGACAACACCATTAAGGAGTCGACGACGAGATGAGCGTGTCAGATTGAGACCAGCAGCTCGGTGCTGTTGCCAGAGCAACCAGCCAGGAGACAAAACCCTCCTGTAAAACATTAATCATTGTTAATTATGACATCACAGATCCATGTGGTTAATTATGATATCACAGATCCACGTCACTGATTACAACATCACAGATCCACAGAGTTAATTACGACAGCAGCAACAAACCCTGGGTGGTCTCCTTCGTCACGGCCCTCCCCGTTCCACCCTCTTCCCGCCTGCCTTGCACTGGAGGGAAGCGCGTGCTGGGCTCAGCTGCTTCCCAGCACCTCCGCTCCCCCGGGGGCTCTGTCCATGCCAGGCCGGACAGCCCCGCCGAGGATCATGCCCCACACTGGGGGGGAAACCAGGAGCAGCCCTGCTCGGCAGTGGCACCAGCAGAGGACTGCAGCTTGACAGTAGCAGGGCTGGAAGTAGCAAAGAGGATGGTGACGACCATGGCGGGGGTCCCAGGCGGGAGAGGAGAGCCCTCCCTTCCACGCTGGCTCTATCCACCGGCACAGGCTGCCCCACGCTCCTGCGGGCACCTCCAGCCTCCCCAGGCTCCTGCAGCCGGGGTGCCCGGGGCTGGGCTGCTCACCCTCCTCCAGCTGCATGACAGCTACCGATCTCCTGGAAGAGACCCACCAAGGAGGGAACTTTCCTTCCAAACACCCTTAAATTCCATTTTTTGCTGTTTTTCTTCCCGGCCTGGGCAGCTGCCAGCAGAACTGCTTGTAAATGGCAGTCCTCTGCCTTCTGAGCGGCATCATCCCACGGTCCTGCCGGCTGAGTGAGGGCTGTTTGGAGAGGACCAAGCAGCGGTAGCAGGACGAGGAGCAGCCGGGAAAGACCCACAGAGACAGAGTATTCACTACTTCACCCCACCTGGATGGTGTATCAGCTTCATCCTGCCCAGCGGGTGGCTGGAGAGGAGCCTGAGCCTCCACCCTCTTGCCTTGGCCATGGCATGCCAACCCCTTCGGCCACTGGCATGAGCCGAGCCCTGGGCCACCCACCCAAGCAATGCCCAGTGACCTCCCCATGAAAAAGAGAAAAGAACCATCGCTTGCCATCACGCGACGTCTTTGCTGCAGCATCAGGGAGCACCTCGACATGGAAACTACATTTACTCTAAGTTAAAAAGGATGTTTTGCAGACTGCCGGCCAGGCGCTCTCCGAAGGGGACAGCAGCCACCAAGCAGGTGGCAGAAAGGCGGGAGATGCTGTCCCACCTGGCAGGACCTTGGCAGGGCAGTGGGTCAGCAGGGAGCCTCTGGGAAGATGGAGAGCTGCAGAGGAGAGAGGGGAGCATGTGTGGCCCCTGAGTCTTGAAGCCAGTTTGCAAGATCTCTAGTGGGGATCTCAAAAAAGAAAAAAAAAAATTCAATTTGGCCAACTTGGTGACCTGAGGTGATGTGAACACATTCCTACCATGGCTTCATGACAGCTCATGTCATTTGTGGTCATCTTGTGTCCCTCTGAAACACAGGGGAAGAGTGACCCCAATCCCCAAGCTGCCCGAGCAGCACCCCTCCTGTGTCACCCTGGGGGAGGTTTCAGCTGGGAAGCCGTCATGTAACCCCCTGCCACAAAGCAAAGGAGCTCCTGAGGGGAGGAGCAGCAGCTCAGGAAGGGGAAGACGGGGATGAAGCTGACCTACACGCTCCTCTGAGCTGCCACCGCGGGAAAGCACCGCTGTCCTCACCCCTGCAGCCGCCTCCCTCTCCCTTGCTCCAAGGGCGACAATAACTCGAGTCCTGTTTCCTTTCAGCCAGGCACTTTTTCACTGCTCTGTCACTTCTGATCATATTTGAGCAGCCTCAGCTGGCTAATTTGTCCATTTCAGCAGCCTCGTTCTCCTCCACACGCACAGGACAAGGCTGGCTCTGGCGCAACCACCCAGTCTGGCTGAGGAGGGATGGCCGGGGCAGGCAGGGCGAGAGATAGAGCCACTGCTGCTGGGGATGGTGCAGGGTTAGCTTTGGCAGGGGGATGTGCCAGAAGTCCCCAGCTGTCTCAGCACAGGCAGAGAGCACGGCAAGGCTCCAAGAGGGCAACCAAAGCCTCGTTGGAAGGTGCCTCGTGGGTGAGCAGGGGTTCAGGTCTCTTCTCGCGGGCATGTGGAGGTTTCCAGCAGCCCTCACACCCACTTCTGCACCCTGCCCAGGCACCTTGCTCCGTCCCCCAGTAAACTACTGCCCATTCCCTGCATCCCATTTCCAAGGCTGGTCCCTGCACCAAGAGCCAGCCCAGCATTTGAACCCATCACAGCTTTTCCCTCTGGCACACAGCAAGGTGCCAGCTGTTCCATGGATACCCCCTACTCTGCTCTGCTCCCCCAAGGATGGTGTAGCCATACCGCTGCAGCTTCACTCAGCAGGAACGTGGAACCTTGGAAGTTTTAATCTGGGAGAAAGAGGCACAGCCAAGGGTGAAGCCCTGCTGGGGTGTTGAGGAGTCCCCCAAAAGCCAGGTCCACCTAGGAAGAAGGGAAGCCAAGCAGCGAACATCAAGAGACCAGCCAGGAATGGGTGCAACGGGAACTAGTCACCCCATGCTGCTAACAAGCCTGGTGGGGGCTGGGTCCCCCAGGCAGTGCAGCCCTGTGCACCCGGGTCCCGGCATCCCCAAATCCCTCCGGGAAGGAGAACAAGCTCCCCTCCCACACCACCCCAGCATAACACTGATGCCCGAACATTGCTCCCCTCTTGGTGCACCCAGGCCCTTTCTTTCCCCCCATTTGATCAAATATTCATCACCTCTGCCGCTGAATAATAGATCAATGTGCTGCCGGGAGGGGCACAGCTCCTCTGCGCTGCCAAAGCTCGCACACAAGCTCTCAGAAGAAGGGCTGGGGCAGGCAGACTAGCAGGAAAGCATGGCAGGAGCTGCACGCTGAGACCCTTCTCAGGATGTAGAGGCAGGCAGAACAGGCAATGGCTCTGCGGAGACGGAAGTAAGCAGGGATGAGGCAGGAGCACATCAGGGAAGGTTCCCCCCCGTGGCACTGGGGCTCAGCGGGTGATGCCATCGGTTGCACCCGGACGCTGCTGGACAGACTCAGCTCCAGGAAAATGAGCACCTGAGACTCTAGGTAGAGCCACGTGCTTGGAAACCATCTGTGCTCATGCCAGCAAGCCTGTGTCAAGAGGCTGCTTTTGTTTGCTTTCACCTTCCATGCGCCGCAACGGGGTCACGCTCAAGAGCATGCTGCTGAGAGTGAGCCGGGAGCGAGGGCCCGCCGAGCACCACGCTGATGCCAAAGCCCCGGAAAATAATTAAGTACAAAACAACTAATCGTGATTGACACTGCCCCCCTGGAGACCCGTCAGCCGCCTTCCAAAAATGCTTCCCGTCTTTCCAATGACCCTGACAATGGTGAAGAAGGGATGGAATTGGTGCGGAGGCAGCCGCAGCCCCCGGCCCCTTCCTTGTGTGCCAAGTGTGTCCATCCTCAGTGGAGCTGACAGCACCCTGCTCCATGCAGAGCTGCAGCAGAAAGCAGAGACCCCAGTCCTCATCCTGCAGCCTCTGCAGCCACTGGCTTCATTCAGAGCCACAGGCACCCAGCACCTTGCAGAGTGAGCTCAGGAGCAAGGACAGCAGATGACAGCCTAAATGGAGAGATGCACTCCAAGGTCAGGAGGCTCAAGAAAACAAATCCAAGCTTTTCTTACACATTCAAGTCACTTGGTACTGCCTGGCACCAGCCACAACAGGCAAGGAGAAATGGCAGCACCTTCCACTGGGAACTCCTGAAGTCTTTAATTTGAGGAAAGCATAATACAGCTGCTGGCAGGGAGTTTTGTGGGCTGTGACCGAAAGGTGCTGTGTCCACACAGAACATCACTAAATATGATGCTCGCTCTGAAATTGCAGCTAAATGCTGCTATTTCAGTATTTTGTGAAGGGGAGGAAGAGTGAGCCCAAGGCTGCAGTGCATTGGAACATACTCAGCTGCCTCAAGGAGAGAAGGGGCTCAGCACCTCCCCAGTCCCCCACTTGCTCTCTGAGGCAGCAGGGTGTTGGAGCCCTGCATCTGGATTTGTGCAGCCCAGGCATAGCCAGAGGAGCCGGGTGCCACCCAGGAGCATCCCAGCACTGCCTGAGCTTCTGCTGGGGCAGAATCACTTGAAACACAAATAGAGCTGAGATGGATCAAGAAATAATCCAAATCCATGCAACTGGGGCTGAGGGGAGACTGCACTGAAAAGTAGATGGCGACACTGTGCCCACTCTCCAGTCGGCAGAGGAAAGCTCAAAAGCTGTCACAGGCATGCTGGCATCTGCTGAGTCATGAAGATCGTATGGCCATCATGCCTGTTGAAGGGGCTGTGGCTAAGATGAGCTTGCTCCTTGAGCTGCTCTCCCAGGAAGAAGAGAGTAAAATAAAATGGAGAAAGAGACCAGGCCTTTCTCTTCCTTCAACTCAGAGATGGTTGCACAGATCCCAGCACAGAAAATACTTGGGAAGGGAGGACCAGTCTTGATCTCTAAGGTGCCATCTTCAAGGCGTCTCCTTCAAGGCATCTCCAGCGAGTGGCTGGGAGGAGATCAGTGGTTATCCCCTCCAGTGGGATCTCTTCTCGCACCAGGGCTCGGAAACCCATACAGTGGTGAGAAGTGGAACCTGACAAGACCAGCTGCCCCCTCCCATCTCACCTCCTGACTTTGACCCTGCTGCTGAACCAGGGGCAGCCTGATGGCCACTCAATGGCTGGAACTGGGGCAGTACCACAGGCAACAAACCAAGTCCCCAGAGTCAGCAGGCCAGCGGCAGTGGGATGAGGATGCTCACTGGGCACTGTTTCCCTTTGCACAAGCCCAGGACCTCCGCATGCAGTGCCACCCCCTGCAGCTGACAGCAGTTGTGCCACCCTGGGGCACTGCAACATCACAGGGATGTGGGAGATGATGGGGACCTCCAAGACCCTCAGGCAGAAGTGGCACAAGTAACCTAAAGGCTTGCCATGTCCTCAGCCCTCTAGGGAGCCTCTCTGACAGCTGGAGCAAGGATGTGATGGTGCCCAACCAGACCTGGTTCTGCTGCCGTGACCAGTAGTGATGGTGATCACAGTGCGACATCCAATCTCAACTCTCTAGTCTCAGAGGCAAGGCCAACCTCTCATAGCTATTATTATTTTAAGCTGGTTTTGTGCAGACTCAGCAGATGACACCACATCTGACTGCACTGACAGAAGTCTACGTGACTGGAAGGGAACGGGTGGTGGAGGAGCCAGCCTAGAGCTGCTGCCCAAGAGCCTAGCCTGGGGTCTCCTACACCAGAAAGTCCAACATCAATTGCTGTCTAAAACTGGGAAGACATTCCTAGCCCTTCTTCCAGCAGGGCAGGGGACTCCCCCACCACAAGCAGGCTGGCAGTGGTGTCCCCAGGGAAGCACCAAGACAGCCGGGGTGCAGGACAGCAGCTGCACCGAGATCCCCCAGCTGTGCTGGGGGACTGTGCACCCTGAGAGGTGCAGAGAGGGGCACACACAGCTGCTGAAGCCACCGACCTGTAGCAGCTTTTGCTCACATGGATCCTGCTGTCCTCTCCAAAACCAAGACACAACCATGGGAAGGTGCCGGAGTGAACAAGCTGTGGGGTGCCTTTGGTCAACCCGGGTCAGTGCCCAAAGCAGCCGCCCCAACGCAAGGCAGACAGAAAGACGAAGAGCCGAGTGAGCACCGTGAACACAGGACCTCGGAGCGCTGGGAAGCCGCTCCAATTAGACTCTTCATTGCAGCACTAAATGGACAGAGCTCCCAGAAAGCAATTCCCAGGCTTGCTTTTACGCTGCACGCAATTAAGAATTAAAGCAACCCAAACCTGAAGATGTGTTAAAACAAATGACCAGACTCCCCGGGAGGCGAGGAGAGCCATCATGCTTTTTTCATGCCCATTACACAAGCATGGACGACCTGCGGGGCAGAGGAGGCGGTTGCCCCCACCAGTGGCCGGCTTGGCCACACCATTCAGCGCTTGGGAATGCGTGGCTCGCCGGCTCCCGCATCTCGCAGACATGTGAGCACGTGGGCTGGCGACGGCAACTAGCATTTCGGGTTACTATAGCACTGCTGTTCTGCGCCTACAGCCATTGTGGTCCCTTCCTGTATGAATACATCCAGGCTCCAACAGATCTTCGCTGAGCAGATGCTATCGGGCAACTCCACCACCAGCTACAGCAACCTGGTATTTAAGCTCCTCACAATCCCAATATGTAACAGATGAAGATGAGATCAAGGAAGATGTATATGACAAGGAGAAAAACAAGCCCAGCTGCAACCAAAAGCTGCGAGAATCAGCTCTGCTCTGACAACAGTGGGCCAGTGGCTCGGCGGCAGCTTGGCCCTCGCCCTGACGCCACAGGGATGCCTGGGTGCTCCCCAAGGTGCAGTGTGACGCCTCAGGGATGAAATCCTATCTCAACTCAGGGTGAGGGGAAGAGGTGTGCTGAGACTAAGCAGTTGCGTGCCTGGTGGGCACAGGTCAGCCCCTCTATGCCTGCTCAGGCATCAAAATTGGGGACACCAGGACCCCTGCCTTTGGGAGGGCTGATGCCGATCGAAGACAGAGCCCGTGAGCAAGCCACAGATACCTGTGATGTCTGTCTGGGCATCCTCAGCCTCAGCTGCTGCAGCCCTGCTCTTTCTCTCCAGTTCTTTCATTTCAGGCACGTAGAAGTCCCCTTGGCGGGCGAGGGGACACACGAAGTAGATGCGGTCCTCCTTGTAGATCTCGATACGGGGGTGGGCACACAGCTTCCTCTCCTGAAACACAGCAGGTAACAGTGGGTCAGGGATGTGCCCCTGCTCCCCACCCCGGCAGCCCTCCCCCATGTGGACCTGCTGGCCTGGCAGCACTGCAGACTCACCTGCTTCGCCATGGGGGCACAGCGAGGAGTGGTGGGTCCCACCCCAAAACCACAGTGATGCTTCCCCTCTCTCAACATTCCCCCCACGTGCCACGGCTGGTGGGTTCAGCCCTGGGGGTGAGCAGTTGGCCAGGCTCAAGAAGGAGATGCTGAAGCCTTAGGGAGATGCAGATTCCCCAGCTCACCCTTGGTTTTGGCGTGCTCATTTTGGGCTGGAGCAAGGGGTTTTGGGGAGCCCAGCAGCTGCATCGCACGGACCTGCCAAGTCTCCTGGCAGCACGGCCCTGTGAGCAGGCATAGCACTTCTCCGTTAATTAATATAATCCAGAGCCGACAGCTCAAGCAGCTCCTTTCAGAACGGCGAGGGCAGGGGGAGTGGGAGATGAATCCCTGGCATTTCAGCTAACTCTCCCTCCTCCTCTTCCTCGCCCCACCTCCCCCCTGGCAGCACATTTCAAGACCTCAGCTCCCCCAGCCTGCCAGGGACCTGTGATGGGGGCATGTCCCCCTTGGGTGCCCCAACCCACGCTGAGATGGAGCTGTGGGGACTCTCAGGGTGCCGGGGCCGGGCTGAGGAGCAGCTGGACCCCTCTTGCCACCCCCTCCTCGCCTGCTCGCCCACCAGCTGCTTGCTGGCAGAGGGGGCGGCTGATTACAAGCTGGGTGAGAAGGGAGAGTGTCTCTTCAGCGGGTTTTCTTTTTCTTTCTTTCCCCTTTTCAAATCACTGACAGCTTTTATTTAACCCTGCAACCACCTGATTATCCTCCTCCTCCTCCTCCCTGCCCTGACTATCCTCCTCTTCCTCTTCCCTGCTCTAACTATCCTCTTTCTCCTCCTTACCCTGACTATCCTCCGCTTTCTCCTTGTCTCAGTTATCCTCATTCTCTTCCCTGCCACATTCCCCCAACACAGCTTGCCCAGACATCCTCTAGCAGGGTCCCCATCCCTCCAGGGCTCTCCAGAGTCAGGCCTGGCCCCTCTCTAAGGACAAGCTCTATGGACACATCAATCACGTCCTTACAAAAGCCTGTTCAGTCCTGATCCCCTTCATCCTTGGGGATGGACCAAGCTGATTTCAAGTCACATATTTCCCAGCCAAATATTGGCACTGGGCAGAATCCACAACTGACGGGAGCCAATGCCGACCCTCTTCCCAGTGCTGTCAGCAAGGCCACCTGGAGACTACTCCATGCTGGCAGGATGCTGCACAAGCAACACAAGGAGAAAATCCCACATGAGCCATTTTTGGGTCTATTTTCCCAGTAAAGCCTGCAGGAGCTGGCTCTGCAGAGTCCCAGTTCACCCAGCGGCACCACAGCAGCAGAAACATGAACTCCAGCAAAAGCTCTGCCTGTCCCATCCCAACATCTTCAAGTCTGAATTTCGGCAGAGTCCCTCCTCCAGCTGGAGAGGAACCACATACAGGAGCCCCGTGCCGCAGGGACGCGCAGGGACGCGGGCGGGCTTCCAAGGCACTTGGAGACCGGAGTTCCCACTTGCAGGCAGGTGAAACACTAACGCACACAGATCAAAACTGTATTAAATAAAAACAAGCCAGGCTGTTTTTAGCAGTAGAGCAGAGGCGGCTCATATCACTCCTGCTTTTTCAGCAACAACGCAGACAAGAACCCTTCCTGCCGCTCTGCCCCTTGCTCTACCAACCACAAGCCCATCAGCCAATCTTCAGCTCAGTTTGTTATTTTAGGTTACTGCAAACATACCAGAGATGGGTATCTCCAACGTTTTTTGGATGCATCCAGCTGGCCCTCCATCACTTAATGCAGACAGGAACAACTCAAAAGATTTCAGAGCACAGACCTTCCCTAAATTCATGAGGTCTCTAACCAGTCTTAAACCTCAGGGCTCCAGTCCAGACTCCAAGACATCCCAAGCTAACTTCCCCAAGCCCACCCTGGGATTCCTAAAGAGCAGATCTGGGACATAACCTCTCCTTACAATTTACCAAGGCTGCTACAACTCTCCTTCCAATTACACAGCCCCAGTAGTGACACCCCCACCCCCTCCCCCCGAAGCACAAACAATGCCTCCTCCATGCACATGAAATGTGGGCATTGTGGCTTTTAAGGAATAAAAATGCACACCTGTATGAAGAGCAGGGTCCCAGACTGGCTCTTGAGCCAAATTCTGCTTCATACTCAAGGATTATCCTATAAGATAGGCGGGGATGCTTCACCCTGCCAGGGTGGGAAGCAGCTTTGTCTCCCTGAAGGCCAGAGGAGCCGAGGTGCCCCACAGCCAAAGCCCATGGCTGTGGACCAGGTCGGTGGGATGATGCTGAAGTGGCTGGACACTTGCTGTCAATACCAACACTTGCCTCATGACAGACAGCTACAAGGATGCTTAACACTTGACTTCATTCCAGTTCATGCAGGCTTTTCCTCAAAAGTAAATGGAGGGAAACCAGAGCCTGGTGGTCCTAATTGAAGCCTGTACAAATCAAGTTGGGAGCCAGGCTCGTGAACTGGCCTCTGCTTCTGCACTTCTTCTCAGAGCAACCCAGCTCCTGGCAGGGCTGCTGCAGAGCTCAGCACTGGCAGCCAGGCTCAGGAGAGGACAACGTGCCCAAGAAGGAGCACAGAGGTGGCAGCTGGGAATGCTGTCCAGTCCAGGCTGGGACCAAAGGGATGAGGCTCCATAAAGACTTGAGGAAAGGGGAGAGGCAATGAGGTGGGGAGCCAGGACAACAGAAATCACTAAGGGGATAATCTAAAGGGGATGCAAGGAGATTGCCCTTGTTATCATCCCAAAGGAGATCAGGAGGCAGGCAGAGGACAGGCAAGCACAGGCAGAGGTGCAGCAAAGTGCAACCAAGAGGTGGATGCCAACACAGCACAGAGTGGGTTTAGGGTTATCCCAGTGGAGAGGAAGGCTGCAAGGCTGCTGCAAGGGAAAGAAAACAGCCCATTGAGACTGGAGAGCAGAGTCCAAAGGCGCAGACATAAGCAGAGAGTGAATTAGCGAAGGCTCAACAACATGGCAAAACAACAGAGATGCACAACAGGCAATAATACACTCTGCAGCTGAGGAGGAAGCCCCTCGCTAACTGTGCAGCTAAGCCAACAGATGGAGCAGCAAGGTGGATGTGGAGTTTGCAAGGCAGAGCCCTCAAGTCAAATCAAATGCAGTCTCACACGGGCGGAGGAGCTCAGCAAGAGGTGAACAGTGGGATGCCGACGGCATCGGGGCCAGGCTTCTGGCTAGGACAGCAGGACCTGGTAAGTAGGGCAGGGAAGGGGACTCATCCCTTTGCAAGGTCATGCTGTGTCACTTGCTTTCTCAGCCTCTGCCGGGAACTCAGCCTTCCTACGGCCAGAAAAGATGGAAGTGGCAGCACAGTGTGAAAGGCTTATTTCTGTGTGGGACCCTCCACTGGGCACCTGAGGCATGGGATTTATTGCACGTAATCCATCCAGCCAAGCTACACAGCAAAGGCCAGTGCATCCAGAGCCCACCAGTTCAGTCCTGACATGCACAGCAGCTCCGGCATATCCTGCTATGTCAGACCCAACACCTTCCATGAAGCCAACTCCTTCTTGGCCCATCCGAGGGCTGTGGTGGGGTGCTGCTCACCATCCTCTTGGGAACAAGGGTTTATGGAGGGGAATACTCTTGCACTCCTCTTTCCCAGGTGAAATAACACCCCAACTAATCTTTACCCTGTGTTGTTTCCAAATCACCCACCACTCCTGATTCCCTGCAGGACTTTCTCCAGGTTGACCTCACTTCTCTAGAAATGGAGCATCCCCCGGCCTTGTGCATCTGAAAGCACCAAACCAGCATTTTGGAAGACCTTCTCCAGCAGTGAGAGGTGGCACCTCCATGGCAGTATAAATTTTCCTCTCCCCATTTGTCCATTAAGGTATAGACCCCATCATCTGCCCACAGAGTGGCTTGGGCATGGATGGATCCTTGAGGATGCCCCCACTTCCCTAGGCAGCCAGGAGAGCAGTCTCAGGGCTACAGGATATGCAACAAGATGTCTGAGATCCTGAAATCCCAGAAGAATCGTGCCAAAATGGAAGGGGGTGGCAGGGTGCTCACGCTGCACCATGGCCCTCAGCGCCTGCTGGGAAACAGAAGGCGAGCTGGGGCACTGCGGGGACCGGCTTTGTCACTCTGTCAGGCTCGTCTGCTCAGGAATTCAAATGCCACCAACTGGATCTGCTTCATCTCCCACTGCTGGAAGAATTCAGCTTGTTAGGAGACCAGCAAATGAGCCTTGCGGCTGCTCTCGGGATCCTTGCCATGCCCGGGCATGCTGGCACTCAGGATCCAGCTGAACCCACTGTCTTCCCCAAAACACTTCTAGGGTTGCCAGGAAGGCTGTGGGGAGGCAGCTGTTGTCCTAGTCCCACTTCTGGGCACAAGCATCCTGGCCCCAGAGGCCCCCCCGTCACCAAGACCTCCTGGCATGGCTCATGGGGTGATGGTTAAGACACACCAGCCCACTGAGTCACTGTTTCAGGGCCAATGGCTATGGAAGCAGTAGGGGAAAGGCTTTTTGGGCCACCACCAAGCTTCCTGCTGTGGCAGGGCTGGAGGCTGAGCTCTCTGTGCTGCCCAGCAGCTCCTGGATCCACCACAGAGATGTCTGCCTCATGCCCCAGCTGCCAGTAAGCCACGTGTATACAGCCATCACCTGCGCCTGTCACCCACCCCTGCCAGAGGATCTCCTGCCTGCAATGTGTAAAAAAATGCCTGTAAAACCCAGCCAGGACTGGAAAAGCTGCAGAGACCAAGCAACTGATCACCAAGGAAATGCTCCCCTTCTTCTATCTTAGGGGCGCCAGGCAGCCCCCTGAGCATCTGCTCCGCCACTGGCTAGGGATGCACCCTCCAGGGATCCACTGCTGGGCACTACCAAAAAGCTGGGA